TTTGTTTAGCCTCACAAAGGAAATACTATGGGACAAGAGTTTCTGAGGAGGCGGAGGCCTCTGAGTGCTGCCAGGCCCCTGTGGTGTCGGTCTTTCCCATCCAGGAGCGGTGGCCAAATGCGGGGTGTAGTGAAAGGCTGAGGGGAGGGCAGGGGGGCAGCTCTGCTGGTTGGCGCACTCCTCCCCCAGCTGCCGTGAGGTTGGCCGATAGCAGCTCACAGCTGCCCGTTCTGTGGAGAACTGCCCTCGGCTGACAGGAGCTGCCTTGCCCCTAGATGTTGACCAATGACTGATGGACAAGGGGTTACTCTAAGGCTAGACTCTTTGTCTCAGGGTGGGCCTGGCTTTGTGGTACCATTCACGTAGGATCAGGCTGGAGGGCATCTGGCTGAAACCACATTCCTGCCAGCTCTGCCTCTTGCCCTGTCCTGTTTCGCTCCCTCCTCTCTACTTCCTCAGTGAGTCACTTAAATAAGATCCTTATCCAAACTGTATTTCTAGGGAACCTAGCCTCAGGACACAGCCTTTCTGCTTTCCCCACCCTTCTGGCAGCCCAACATCTCTACTTTCCAGATATACTTGGCAGCTGGGGCAGCTTGGGTGATGTTCCCCATCCTTCCTGGGAAGCAGACATTTCTTTCCATGCCCAGCCCATAGTGCAGTGGCATTATCATGGCTCACTGCAGCCTTGAATTCTGGGCTTAAGTGATCCTTCTGCCTTAGCCTCCCAAGTAGCCAGGACTACAGGCTCTTGCCATCATGCCCGGATAATTTTTAAAAAAATTGTAGAGATGGGATCTCGCTATGTTGCCCTGGCTGGTCTTGAACTCCTGGGCTCAACTGATCAACCTGCCTTGGCCTCCCAAAGTGTTGAGATTACAGGCATGAGCCACCACACTTGGCCTTTGAAGGTTTTTGAGTAGGTGAGTGGCATGATCAAGTTGACTGATATTTTAAAACAGTGGTTCTCAACTGGTGGGAAGGAGCTATTTTGTCTCCACATTTGGCAATGCCTGGTGATATTTTTGATTGTTACAACTGGAAAGGTGCTACTGATATCTAGTGGGTGGAGCTCAAGGATGCTGCTAAACATCCTAATGTACAGGACAGTCCTCCACCACAAAAAATTATCTGGTCCCAAATATTGAAAAGTACCAAGGTTGAGAAATCATGTTTTACAAAGAGAATCCTGGCCACAGAGGAATTGACAATCACCTGGAGAAGGGGAGGTGACTTAATTGTCTGGAGACAGGACCAGGCTGAGGACAGGGCATGGAAATGTCTACAATAAGGCCCATTCACCCTTTGCTTAAATAGTTCAGTACATTTGACTCCTAAAATGTTCCCTCCTTGAAATTTCTCATTGAGATCAAGCCCAGTTACTGGACTTTCCATAACTTCTTTCTTACTACTTTGGTCTCTTTTCTTCCTCCACTGGTCAATTTGAAGAATATTCCATTAAAATGGGCTCCATCTTCTACTGGTTAAGGCCATTTTCTCTGTAAGTTGGAGACATCTTCTGGAAAGACCGTATTAGTATAAATAGGGAAAAACATTGCTTATGACACTGCACAGAGGCTAAGCACTTGGGATCTGAAGTCGCAGTGACTTCTGTTTGAGTCCTAACCCTGCCATTTACAAGGCATATGGCCTTGGGAAAGTTACTTAACCTCTCTGACCTCAAAGGGTTGTTATCAGAAATGAAAAGGATAACATACTAAAGAACTTGCGGCCGGGTGCGGTGGACCAGCTGGCTGGGCCTATAATCACAGCTCTTTGGGACGGCAAGGCACATGGATCACCTGAGGTCAGGAGTTCAAGGCCAGGCTGGTCAACATGGTGAGACCCCATCTCTACTAAAAATACAAAAATTAGCCAGGCATGGTGGTACATGCCTGTAGTCCTAGCTACTTGGGAGGCTGAGGCAGGAGAATCGCTTGAACACGGGAGGTGGAGGTTACAGTGAGTCAAGATGGCGCCACTGCACTCCAGCCTGGGTGACAGTGAGACTCCAAAAAATAAAAAAAATAAAAAAGAACTTGGCATAAGCCCACAAGCCTAGGCAATATAACAAGACTCCCATCTGTACAAAAACAAAAGTAATTAGCCAGCTGCGGTGGCACATGCCTGTAGTCCCAGCTACTCAGGAGGCTAAGGTGGGAAGATCACTTGAATCCAGGAGTTTGAAGTTACAGTGAGCAATGATTGCACCACTGCACTGTAGCCTGGGTGATAGGGCGAGACTGTCTCAAAAAAAAATAAGCAAATAAATAAAAAGAAAAAGAACTTGGCACAGTGCTTGACACACATTAAATGCCTCCTTGGTTGATTTGGAAAATAGATATACATTCTCTTCTCTAAATGCTTTCCAAGTCTGTTCCACTACACTCCCAGATATGATATGATGAGACTCCCAGATATGATATGATGAGGTCAGATTGAGAAGAGAACCAGGACAAGAAAGAAAAGTTGTGTTGGTAAACTTGAACTGCGCCTGTAGCTTTAAATACTTTAATTAATTAAAAAATGTTTAATTGTGGCAAACATTTCTCCAACTGTTGAGTGTAGAGGCAGGAACCAGGACTAGTCAGCAGGGGCATGGGGGAGGCCATCGGGCTACATGAGGTCATTACTAGCGATTGCCTCTACTGCTGTTCACCTTAGGAAAATCTTTCTTTCATTTAATTTCTCTTATTTTCTGACTTCTTTTCCCTATGGCATTCACGGGATTTGTTTAACTGACTGGCCCTTGGCAGTCTGGGAGGTAGGGGATATTTGTTCTCTCTGCTTACTTGGCTCCGTTGGCCAACTCCATGGGCTCTCAGTGCCGTCCCTCTGCCCCTCGGATGCCCCACCCCATCCACCCATACATTCAGGGTGCTCTGTGTGCACTTTCCCTCTCTGCATGTGGAATAATCCCATGCCCTGGATCTCTCCTTTTCTTCTTTCCTCGTGTTACAATTTTCCTGTCTTGTGCATGCGCCGTCAGAGCCCTGGTCCTCACCCTGCAAGGTGACATCTAGCTGATTTGAGAAATGGCATAATGGAAGTGGTGGCTGCTTTGTTAGTGGGACGGGACCAGCTCTTCCAAACTGGACCCTATGTTGTTGTCTAACCCAACTGGGTGGCCACGATGATGACAATGGTAGGCCTCTTGGATCAGGTAGGAGAGGCGAGCAGCCTTGTGTCAGGTCAAAGGGAGAGAGTTTTGGGTCCTGTGAGGCCTTTTACCAGCATCAGGTCACACCGTCAAGGCTACTGAGTGCCCTGTGTAGGTTCAGGGCTGTGGCTGTGTGCTGTGTCAGCCCTCAGGGCTAGAGAGCTTGCTTCTAGTTCTTAGACTAGAAGGAACTAAGTCTCCTAAGCCTGCTACCCTTTCTCTTGCCTTTCTCAGAAGGCAGAGATATTCAGAAAAGGGCAAGAGAGAGAGCAGGAGGCCCAGGAGACTTAGTTCCTGAGAATCTTTTGCTCTATAGTGACTCCGAGCAAGTCCTGCCAATGCCTTGGGACACCTAGAAAACTGAGTTTGTCCCTGCTGGGTAGGACTCCCCCGGGTAGTGAGCCAATTCCCTGCCAACCTGGAGGATCATTATCTGTGTGGTTGGGAGAGCAGGGTGGTTGTGTGCAGCCTGCTGCCATGGGGGCAGAGCTCTCGCCAGCTGGTCCACCTTCCTGGGCTGTGTGTTTTCAGGCCATGGCCAGTGCAGCTGTGGGGACTGCCTGTGTGACTCCGACTGGACCGGCTACTACTGCAACTGCACCACACGTACTGATACCTGCATGTCCAGCAATGGGCTGCTGTGCAGCGGCCGCGGCAAGTGTGAATGTGGCAGCTGTGTCTGTATCCAGCCGGGCTCCTATGGGGACACCTGTGAGAAGTGCCCTACCTGCCCAGATGCCTGCACCTTTAAGAAGTGAGTGTGCAGTTTGGAGAGAGCCAGGAGGCTGGGAGGTAGGAGAGGGTCCCCTGACTAGAATCTCCAGCTCTCCAGGTGTGTTTCTTGCTAACCAGAGCCTTATGGAGAGGAGTCCACTCCAGCCAGATGGCTACCTCTCCTTTTGCCAAAGGCTTTGGGCAAGTTAGAATAGAACCAACTGAAGGGGCTAAATTTGAACGAGCTGGACTTTGATTGGAGAATGTCCTCTCCTAAGGTGACATCCTGACTCCCTCTGAGTTGGGAGGAAGGCTGAACCAGTCTGAGGAACGATCCAGTGCTGATGTTCTGATTCAGTGGGAGATGTGGGGCTGGAATTATGGAGGACACTGTGAAACTACTACAAACCTCCCACTTTAGTGGCCAGAGGAAGCCCTGTCAGCCCAAGTCCATGGCACTGCCATTCTGCTCACCACTTTCAGCAGGGCCAGATTTACGAGCATGCAACCTGTGCAGCTGTGCAGGGCCCTGTGCCTAGAAGGGCCTCATGCTTGTTTTAATGCTCTGCCATCACTGTCTTGACATTCTTAGTAATCTTTGAACAAGGGAGCTGACATTTTCATTTTGCACTGGGCCCCCAAATGACATGATTGGTTCTGACTTTATAGTTCTCAGAAGTGGCATAGGGTTCACCATCCTGGCACAGCCCTGGATGGGACGGGTTTAATGAAGGACCTGGGAGGCTTCTGGCTGCCAGGTGCTGCCTACAGGTGAGGGGGACACTCCCACCCCTGAACTGCACACTTGCCATTCAGGTCCCCAGGATTGTCTTACAGGCGTGTGTGTGTGTGTGTGTGTGTGTGTGTGTGTTTTAATGGAGGTGGAGCAGCTTTCTGAATGCATGGAGATCGGAGCTGGACTGGGATACGCTTAGGTTTGCACCTTCTTTGCCTTAATCACTGTGTCCTCTCTCCTTCAGAGAATGCGTAGAGTGTAAGAAGTTTGACCGGGGAGCCCTACATGATGAAAATACCTGCAACCGTTACTGCCGCGATGAGATTGAGTCAGTGAAAGAGCTTAGTAAGTTCAGCACATCTTAGAGTTGCACACACCCAGGTTCTAAATGTTTCTAATTCAATCTTAGCACCTCTCCAACTCCCATCTGTAAAATGGAAGCGTGACTCCTACCTCAGGGAATGTTGTGCAGGCCTGATGAACAACAGATTCTTGATGTGAGCTGATGTCTCTGAGAGTCGTCCTCCTCTCTTACTAGTGTGTGCAGCCGTCCACCACTTCTGCTTCCCAGAGCCCACAGACTCAAAAAGAGCCTGCAAAACAAAGGGAGCCAGTGCCTCCCTAAGGAAGGGAAGAGAATGTATCCCATTTTGCAGACGAAAAAACTGAGGCACAGAGCTGGGAAGTGGTTGCCTGTGATAGTCATCATCTTAGTTCAGTAGGCCAGTAAGCGTTTACCAAGTTTACTTAACTAAAATTGTTATGCAGTGCCCAAGATTTTGCTTAAAGCTTTGCAGGTTTGGAGGGAAACCTTCAACCTTATGGATAGGTAACCAAAAGCTTTATCTGAAGTCCTTCTACCTCTCTGGAGCCCCTTTTGAAATAAGACAGAAATACAAACAATAGGGAGAAAAAAAATCTTGCCTGCAATTATTCTTGAAGTATTCTCTGTACTTCATCTTAACTTAAAAGGAGATGATCTTTGCTGCTGTCGTCACATCTGATATAGTTATGTGGGCCAGTGAGGCACTGGGTAGTACTAGAGAGATGGCAATCTCTCCACAGATAGCAATCTCCCATGAAGGCAGAAACACATTTCAGAGAGAGCCACAGTAAGACACAGCCAGCCAGTCAGCTTCCTGGTGGGGGTGTTATGCAAAAGAGTTAGATCTCTGGGCCTTTTGGCTAATATCAGAAGTAGGGCTGGGGTGAGGTTAGTGATTTGGGAATTGAGTTTGAAGAAATAGTTTTTCCTCTGGAAGAGATTAGGCTTGCTATGATTAGTTCAGAGAGGAGAAGTTGCTGAGATGTTGAGTTATTTTTATCATCTAGTCTAGGTGGGTATTACAAGTTAATTGATAAGTAGTTCCCTACCTCCACCTCCCCTCTACCGGTGGTATTATAGTACAGGGAAAAGAGTATGGAAATAAGCATATTAAAATAAATGCTTATTTGTAGGGAATTTTATAGCTTGTAAAAGTTATAAAGTATCTTTCATATACATTATCTTATTCTTCTGTCAATAGCCTAGTGAAGTAGAACTATAGTACTATTATTATCTTCATTTTGAGTCTCAGGAAAGTTAAGTAACTGGCCCAAGCAAGGGAATGGCAAATTAAGTTAAGAACTAGATCCTGAAATTCATACTCTTTTCCCTGTATTATAATACCACTGGTTTTCTGAAGGGTTGTTGAGTTCAAGTCTGCAGGATGTGCTTTTAGACTCCTGTTCTTGTTCTGCTTCATCACTCATTTGCTGTGTGACCTGAGTACATTTGCTTAATTTCATCATGTGTCAGTTTTACTTATCTGGTTTCATCAGTATGGGGCATAGTGCAGCTGGTGGAAGGTAACCTCTAGTATCATTGGCAGTATAACAGGCTTTAGAAGTCTACAAAACATGGTGGGAGTCAGAGAAGAGAGGATAGCTCTGGGGAGGTACACCAGATCAGAAACATAAATGGAAGAAATAGAACAGCTGCATAAGCAAACTATTAAGAATCACTAAGCAAGCAGAGAAAGGAAAGAGAGGGAAGAGTACACCTACTATATGTTAGGCACTGTTTGTGCTGTTTAGTTCACTGACCTTGTGAAGTTGGGGTATCATTTTCTTTTTATAGATGAAGAAAGACTTGATGAGGTCAGGTGACTGACCCAAGATCACAAAACAGGTAGGGAGTGAAGCCAGGATTTGAATTAAATTGTGTAATACTGTTACATCATGTCCCTTTCAGAGGAAGGATTAGTAACCAAAAAGGGCCTGTGCAGTACAAAATACATCAGTGAGGGTCAGTGAGTGGCAACTGCCAGACACAATAGCCACTTTGAATCTAGGCATTGTGCACATGAGGCATAGGGTTTCCTGTCACGCACTTTCCCGGAAGTCCTGTGATAGGGGTTTGGAGTAGCTCCACCTTCCAGTAGTTGTCTCACTTTTTGTTCCTCCATTTTCCCTACTCCCAGAGGACACTGGCAAGGATGCAGTGAATTGTACCTATAAGAATGAGGATGACTGTGTCGTCAGATTCCAGTACTATGAAGACTCTAGTGGAAAGTCCATCCTGTATGTGGTAGAAGAGCCAGGTGAGTGAACCCTGAGGGCTCCCGGCCCTGCCCCAGGAGGGAGAGGGAGAACCATGTTAGGCAGGAATCTCTACTCATCTATGCTCTTAAGCAAAACAGGTTAATCCTTCAAGTAATAAGTTAGGGGCCAGGCGTGGTGGCTCATGCCTGTAATCCCAGCAGTTTGGAAGGCTGAAGTGGGTGGATCACCTGAGGTTAGAAGTTCAATACCAGCCTGGCCAACATGGTGAAACCCTCTCTCTACTAAAAATACAAAAACATTAGCCGGGCATGGTGGCACATGCCTGTAATTCCGGCTCCTCGGGAGGCTGAGGCAGGAGACTCACTTGAACCCGGGAGGCAGAGGTTGCAGTGAGCAGAGATTGCGCTGCTGTACTCCAGCCTGGGCAACATAGTGAGACTCTGTCTCAAACAAACAAACAAACAAAAAAAAAAAACCAAATGATAAGTTAGGGACCGTCATCTGGATGAAGGGTATTTATAAACACAAATATTACCAAGAAAGTGACTTGTTAATTGAGGAGACAGCAAAATCAGAAAGAGGGTAAGGAGAAGAAGATAGATATGGATCTCATTAATGGACAAAATATATCACTGCATTTTTTTGAGGCAATGACGTCAAGAAATAAAGAATTTAAATTTTAGGACTTTACAGCACATGGCATCTGCACTATTAAAATTGAGATGGTTGCCAAGAGCAACTTGACTGTGCTTCAGAGGAAGACCTGATGGTTAGAGGTATTACCTTTCCAAGTTTACTGCAGGATGGGGTAGGGATGGGTTTGAGACACTAAGGCAAGGTTGCCCTGAACACTGAAAGGACAGTGCCTTCTGGGAGCAGGAGGAATCCATCCCATCATACACAGACCAGCCACAGATTTGTCACCATCCAATGCTGTCTATTGCTTGCTTCCCTTTAACACCTTTATGGCCTTTGTTCTCCTTAAACAATGTATTAAGATGAATTATTAGAAAACACTTTTGAGTATTCACTGCCTGCAGACCCTTTCCTCCACATTAGGAGAACAGACCCCAGAGCCATAAACCCATGTTTCCTATCTTTTTTTTTGAGATAGGGTCTCATTTTGTTGCCCAGGTTGGAGTGCAGTGGTGTGACCTTGGCTTACTGTAGTCTCAACATCTTGGGCTTACACATTCCTCCCATTCCAGCCTCCCTGGGACTACAGGCATACACTACCACACCTGGCGACTTTTTAAGTTTTATTTTTTGTAGAGACAAAGTCTCACTATGTTGCCCTGGCTAATCTCAAACTCTGGGGCTCAAGTGATCACCCCGCCTCAGCCCCGCAAAGTGCTGGGATTACAGGCATGAGCCAATACACAGGGCCAACATTTCCTATGTTGTTGCTCTGGAATTCTAGGCTCTGCCTCCCTGCTTGTCTCCCAACTCCAGTCATTTCCTGTCTTTGAGTAGAATGTTGCAGGTGGGGTCTCAGACAATGGAGGAGATCATTCTCTTTCTCTTCCCCAACTCATGCTCTTGCAGATGCTCTCCTTGAAGGGCTAAGCCACTATAGGGCAGTAAAGACAACACTGCCAAAAGTTTTGGCATTGGCCAAATGGAATTTAACCTCATGGAATGGGCTTTTGAGCTGGGCTCTTATCACCCCCAGATGGGGTTGCCAAATAGAATATACTATGTCCCATGCAATATTTGGTACACACTGATAGTAAAAAATAATCATTTATCTGAAATTCAAATTTGTCTTGGCTTCCTGGTCTTTTCTTTCTTTCTTTTTTTTTTTTTGAGACAGAGTATTTCTCTGTTGCCCAGGGTGGAGTACAGTGGCGTGATCTTGGTTCACTGCAATCTCTGCTTCCCGGGTTCAAGCAATTCTGCTGCCTCAGCCTCCCGAGTAGCTGGGATTACAGGCACCCACCAACACCACTAACTTTCGTATTTTTAGTAGAGGCAGGGTTTCACCATGTTGGCCAGGCTGGTCTTGAACTCCTGACTTCAAGTGATCTGGCTGCCTTGGTCGCCCGAAGTGCTGGGATTCCAGGTGTGAGCCACCGCACGGGGCCAAGCATCCTGTGTTTTTGTTTGCTGAAACTGCCAACCCTACCCAGACTCCTCTGACCTTGGGTCATTTGCCATTGGTCCCCTGCTGTGGCTGGAAGAGCCCTCCAGAGGTCACCTGATCTTGCCCTCTGCTTCCAGGAAGCCCACCCCAAACTCCTTTCAGGACACATGGTTAACAGATTGTTTTCCTGTGAAGACCTTCTGGCACCCTACCTGTCTTGACCATACTAATGTGCAGAATTAAAGAGATTTTACTTTGATAATTGAAGGTCAGCCCTACCCAAGTCTTCCAAAGAATCCATAATTGTTTTTCCCAGCAGAACTGGGGCCCTTCGTTCCTGGGAACTTGAACACTGGAACCTCACAGCCTCTCTCCAGGCACACATTTGATTATAGACAGGTTGTAATTTGGTGGGTTGGGAGATAGCCAGCTTGGGTTATGGTGGTGGTTGTTTTTGTGTTGTGTGTGGTGAGCATTGGGTATATGTTTGGAGAAGAAGGTGGGAGACAGTGTGGAAAGTGGGTGTCACTTCCTCTCTAGGCTCATTAGTACCCTCATATATAAACACCTGGTTTCATAACACTTGAGGTTACTGGAATAAGATTAGATACCTGACATCTGTGGGAAGCAGAGCTCTGCGGAGTATACTCAGCCTGACCCCCAGAGGGGTGACATGCCTCTGTTTTAGTTGTTGCCTGGGGTTGAACAGGAAGTCAGCTTTCAATAGGGTTATGATTTTAGATGACTAAATATTTTGGGAAAGAACCCAATATATTGTATTGGCTGGCAGGTCCTGGTCTCTAAGAATGCAAAAAATGTCATTAGGTTCACAGCCCTCAGGAATGTAAGTATCTGAACCAGGGTAACAGACACAAATACTTACAGTGGCTAAGGAAGCAAGTAAGTTAGTGAAAACAGCTGGATATAAAAAGATCAGTTACAATGGTAGCTGATATTTACTGAGCA